AGTCTTGCTCTGAGCTCTCGACATTTACTTTCCTGGCACTTGCTATCACTTATACTAGTGTTATTATCTTGTTAGAAGATTTTGGTTAGAAGATACAGGTTAATACAATTCTTAAAAAGATATAATATCCTTTGCACCATGAGGCAAGGCAGTCGATAAGAGCAAACGATAATTTTCCTATGTTACCTCTTTAGATTTGTTTGGTACATTTTTGCTCGAGGGAAACAATATGTAGATTTCATTCACAGGATCTTCCCCTTTAAATTGATACCTTCCAATTTTAAGGCCGACAGCCCATAATATTCGTCACTCAGCAGCTTAACAGATAAGTTCAAATTTCACAGCTTGCTTTGTGTGCAGATTATCTCGTAGCTCTGTAACGAATAGGCGCTAATACAGACGGCTAGTTGAGTTAATCGGTAGCTTAGCACATGGAGACAAGCCAAAAGAACAAATAAAAGTGCATAAACCTCAAGGCTGATCTGAAAATTTCTTACACATATAAGTTTTTCATATATACTGAGCTGCTTCTCACCTGCTGCCTAAATGACGCTTACTTATACAACTACGTAATGCTCATTTCCTGTTCCTTTTGTTATTGTCGCAGACGCGTGGAGCTGACGAAGGCCGCTGGCCTTGGGAATCGCCCCCTGATAACGCTGAGGAGGAGGCGCCGCCAGGTGCGGCCGTTGGGGCTGAGGCTAAATACCGCTATACGCTAACATCGATCAACTACTTCAGGTACGCAGTACTCTTGTGATTTTGTATTAGTATATTTAAGGTACCAAATGGCTAATATTTATAATTTTATAGGCCACGCTGTATAGGCTTTGCACGCCGGCGTCTGGGGCGCGGCGGACGCGTGCTGCTTGACCGGGCCAGTAGCCGTTATGACGACCTGTGGTCACAGTTCGACTATACGGTGATGGACAGCGTGGTGAAGAGCGACAAGCCTCTGAAGCACCAGCATAAACAGCAACTGTCCAAGCCCAGCTCCCCGCCCACCGTTGTTGATCTGCCTACGTGCAAGGAATCAACTGCGGACGCCAGTGCGGCACCCGAGGCGCTCCCCAAGGTTGAGCCGGCCAGTGAGCAGGTGCTGCCCAAAGAGGAGGAAGACGATGAGGGAGAGGATGAGCTGTGCACCGAGGATGAGAACGTCTCGCGCCTAAGCGTCTACAGCTCAGCGGTGACGCTGGAGCAAAGTCCCTACGATATGCGCATGAAGCGTCGCCGGTTACATCGCAAGAAACAGCAGCTGCGCGAACTCAATGCCGCAAAGCGTCTCAAGAGCGCAGCCATTGAAAGCGAAGACGGCACGAGCATGGATGATGGCTTGCCGCGGCTGCGTCCACTGCCCAGGGCGTATTTGCAACGTTTGGCGCAGGCCCTGCATTCGTCGTCTCAGATGCAGACAGAAGCGTCAACGGATGCGCCATCTGTGAGTTTGGAGAAGCAGCCTCAGCAAGAGCTGGAGCTGAAGCAGGAGAACTGCGATGAGCTAATTGAGCAGTCACGCCACGCTAATCATCAGCACCACCGTTCCAATAATAATAACAACAACAACAACACCGTGTTTAATAACAACAACAATAGTAGTAGTAGTAGTAGTAATATGAATAAGAATGTTAGCATTAGCGAAAAATTCAATGTGATAAAAGTGGAGGAAGCGGATGCGGATGCGGACGGAGAAGATGGGACAACTCTGAATGAGCAGCCGGTGGCCTCTACCTCGGCAGCGGCAGCTGCGGCACGCGCAGCCGAAGCGGCAGCTGCAGCAACAACAACAACAGCAACAGCAACTGCAATTGGATCTGCAAATGCAACAGTCGAGGAAGTAGCAAGGACGATAAAGCGCGAACTGATCGATGCAGATGACTCTAACGAGCCGTTGAGCAGCATACGCACAGCGGCGTCCATGCAAAACCAGCAGCAAACCCAGCAGGAGATGATGGACGACGATGAGGCCGAAGATGACGTAAATCTGGCACAGCTTAGCAGCATTATACGGCACACGGCGGTCAAGAAGGAGCTGCAGGCCCAACAGCAGCAACAGAAGAAAAGGCAGAAGCAGGAGGAAAAACAACAGCAGGAGAGCCAGATACGTTGCTTCAACCAGATGCCCGATGTCATTCGCCTGCACAACAAGCAACTGTATATTGATGCTGGCGGAGATGCGACCGCGGCTCCAACGGAGGACGACAACGAGACCTATGACTACATGGGCGGCTTGTCGCCAACATCTAGCCAGCGGCTAGACATCTGCAATGAGCTGCTGTCGGAGATCAGGCGCGACTGGCTGCACTTCCGGCCGAAGACGCCCACGGACGAGTTGTCGGACAGCAACCCAGGGGACGAGGGCAGCGGCAACGGCAAAGTTTGCCATAGCGCAGCCGTGGACTGGACACAGGATACGCCGATTAGCCTCGAGTTTGGTCTTTTGGGCAAGTGCAGTGGCAACGACGACGACGCCGCAACCGACGCGCACTTCATGAGCAACGCCTTCAAGTACACGGATCTCGATGCGGATGCGCAACTGCTGCAGACTGCCTACGGGCTGGACTACGCGCGCGACCACAGCAACAGAAGTCCCGACAACACTAACGGCGACTGCTCCGACTCTGGTTCGGGCTTGGGATCGGGCTCGTGTTCCGGTTCTGCGCTGGAATTCAATCTCAGCGGCGGTGATTCACTCAACGACATCAATAATCTGTTGGGCGATGAGCACATGCTGGTCAACATATTGCAGGAGTGCAGCGCAGATGACCCCAAGGCGCTCAATCAGGCGACCAGCTTCTGGAACGGCATTCTTGACGGCGAAGCGGCTGTCGACGAGGTTGAGAACGCCGACAATCTGCTCGACTGCAAAACGGCACCCGTCTCCGACTTGAAGCGCACTGCGCGCAGTCGTGCTCATGATCGAGGCCCACCCGCGCCGCTGGGCAGTTCCAGTTTCACAACGGCTGAGCACGAGTCATCCTTCTTTTGCCAGGCACCGCCCGTCAAGCAAGAGCCACCGCCAACATTGCCAGACGCCGTGCCGTCAGAGATCACGTTGCCCATCAAGTTGGAGCCAGCGGAAGCGACACCAACACCGCCGACGCTGCTGGCCCATTCAGCGGCAATTACCTTAACCACAACTACGCCCCCCGCCAATGTAGCGCCAGCAGTTCCAGTTCCAGCTCCTGCAGTGCCAGCACCAACACCAACACCAGCGCCCACACCAGCTCCAGCGCCTTTAGTTGCTAGCACTGCAGCGCCGCACCTGCTTAACATACCCGCCCAAATCACAACACAGCACCAACAACAACAGCAACAGCAGCAGCAGCAACAACTGCCTCAGCAGCCGAAGCCAACGCAGGTAGCTGTGACGCAGCAGCTGCTGAATCAGTTTGCAGCCAGCGCGGCACCAGCTGCCACACAGCTGATCGCGAGGACAGAGTTCGTGAGCAGCGGCACGGCCGTGGGTGACATTGTGACCATAACGCCGCATACGGGCAGCAGTCCGTTGCCGACGCTGCCTACTTTGACGGCGCAGCAGCAGCAGTTGCAGCATCAGCTGGCGCAGGCGCAGCTGCGCAATGTCACCGTGCAGCAAAGACAGGCGACACCCCAGCAGCAACAGCAGCAAGTGCAGCAGCAGGTGGTGCAGCAACAGCAGCCCCAACAACAACAACAACAACAACAACAGCTGCTGTTCCAAATGCAGCGCGATATTAGCGGCTCGCCGGCCGTAATCTCTTCGCAGAGCATTGTGACGTCGCGCAGTGGTAATCACATGATATACACGACAAGCAGCGGCGAGATTATGACTGCGGCTGCACAGGTCGGTGCCCAGAAGGTGACCTATGCCATACAGAAGAGCAGCGGCGGGAGCAGCGCCTCCATTGGCCCGAACACTGTCATCACGCTGTCCAACGTCAAGCTGCAGAATGATGACAGCTCTTCGTCGTCGTCGGCCCCCTCGAGCGTTAATATCATCAACACCGCCAGCGGACAGCAGCTGGCTGTGCACAGCATTTCTGGCATTCAGCAGCAGCAGCAGCTCCAGCAGCAGACAACGACTAGCACGCCTCTGATCGTGGCCACGCCCACGCGCAACAACTCCCACCAGCAACAGCAGCAGCAGCAGCAACAACTCGTCACGCAACAGCAGCAGCAGCCAATTGTGTGGCGCCAGGTGAGTGGCACCAACACAGCGGTGGCCACGACTGCCGTGCTCTCGAGCACCACATCGGAGTCGGTTACGGCCGTGGGCAACAAGATTCTGTGGGCTTCGAGCCGCACCACACAGAAGCGGCAGCTAAACGGACCCGAAAACACAGGTGAGTCGTCGTCAGTTCTTAATTGAATGCTCAGTTCAATTATTTAAAACACTTTTCGAGCACCTAAACCCCCCTAGGTTGTGTGTTGTAAAACGCAAGAGAGTGAGAAAAGTTGAGAGATGTCAATGAGAGGGTGTTGAGATTTATGCGGCAAATAGCACACGGAGAGGCGAAGCAGAGGAGGAGAAGGGAGAAGAGCCGAGAGGAGGGTTGACCCAAGCGGACTTCTTTGTTACAAAAATGTAGATATCAACAGCAGCTAAATTTGAATATTTTCAAGTTCTGTTTAGCAGAAACTCATAGAATCCTTATTTTGTGAGTACTCATAAATGAAATCGGGTTATAAGTTAATTCAGAATACAGTAAAAACAGCCAGCGAACTTTTAGTTCAGTTTACAGTGACATATTTAAATATTATCAAAGTTATACGACAATTAAGTAGCATATTTTTATGGGCTTGAATGTTGTCAATTAATAATTTACAATTACATATTGTGTTATTACGAACTCTGTGTTTTCTACAGCTTTTTGTTGCCTGCAGAACGCATTTCCCAGATTGATAAATAATATAGCATACCTATCGGGGCGTACGTCCCGAAAGTATTAAAAAAGTCATGTAGTTCTTCAAAGTGTGTTTCTTACGCAATATCCAACAGTTGGTCAACGCAATTAATGTATTTTTAATGATCTATTTATCGTTCGTTTCGTCAGAGCGATATCGTTTATTGTAACTCAAAATATCCTGATGGCTTGCTTATCAATTATCAATTATTTATAATTTTGCTTACATCGGAAAACAATTTAAAAACTGTCATTTGGAAAGTGTCGCCGCAAATGTAGACTACAATTTCTCTTCTTGGAGACCGTGTTTGAAGAACATAAAAACTGGGACGCCCTCGCCGTCTAATTCGCGATACTCGCACATGGCGACCATGCCATCGACGTCCATCGACTCGCCTGTAAAGAATTGCAATTCCCTGAATCTGCCCAAAATGTCCTTCATCGCCTTGTTCATGTTGTTTTTGAGCACGTCCACTTCGTTGGGTGCATTCGCCTGCAAATGCTCGAGCACCTTTTTCATATATTCCTTAAGGTAAAGTGTGAAAGATTTCTTGTCTGCGAATGCAAATGATTCCTGCAGGCGATGGTTCAATATCACATCAACGCCACTTTCTACGGCTGAGTCGGTGCCCTCATCAGCCTCCTCGGCCGATGGATTGGCACCGGCCAGGACAATGTTGTCCTGATTGCGGCTGACCAGCTTTCCGTACACTTCATAAATAACATCGTCGACCAACTTCATTTTATACGTGTCCGTGAACATCTCATCCCCGGTAAAGATATCCTTGTAGACTTTCATGATTGCGTTGGATTTTGCGTCTTATATAATCGACGTTTGGCTCTTATAGTGCGATTGACTCGCAATATCAATAGCAAAGACAGAAATCCGATATATCGACAGCGAAAAATGCGCTGTATAAAAAGGATAATTTTTGGATTAATTTGTTTTACATGTTATTTTAAAAACGACCTTTTCATTATGTCAATTTCAAGTAAATTTGACATATGTTACGAAGTTGACCGTTCACCAAAAGTAAGTTTAGTACTGATATTACAGAGTGATATAATTAAAGGGAATCATTTTTCTTACCATATTCTAACTCTATATATAAAAGTGACTGACTGATTGTTGATCGAAGCAAAGCCCAAATTATGAGAGCTAAATTAGTTATCGTACCTAATATGATGTGCACGCAACCACAGGATTTTTGAAATATCCACCTGCAAGTGTGGAATGATCGTGGAAAATGAATCGTCTCAAACTCAATTGAAAATAACTTTACTCTTGCGGGTCAAAGGTTGTATGAGTGATATTTATATTTCCATTATGCTCATTATCAAAGCTCTACATTGTCAAAGAATGAATAACTGTTTCAACAAATTTCCGAATTCACCTCACGGGAGTAAAATGGCCAGTGAATGGGTGGAAAAGGCTGTGTGATTGTATAAAAAAGTGCATTCATGCATATATGTATGCCATATATATGTTTGTCTTCCTTAATGTATCGTTATTATATAAGTTTATTTAAATTGTTTATTATATGCTGTTTTTTATTATGCTGTTTTTTGTTGGTCTAATATTTACGAGTGCTGCAGTTAAGAGAAATTATGTCGTTATTATTCATAGCTTTTATCGACTATCATTTTTTGTTGAGCCGTCAAAGTTTCTTTTGATGCACTGTTGGGACTATGAATCGATTTGTTACTATAACTATTGTTTGTTTCGCTTTTGCAGATATTAACAAGCTGTTGTTGAATCGCAAATTCTCGCAGCGCAAGGTGGGTCAGCAGGTGGCGCAGCAGCAGATTCAGCTAACGAAGCAGCAGCTACAGCAGTTGGTGCAGCAAGAGGACGAGCTGGTGGCTAGCGGAGCCGGCGAGCAGCTCAGCTTGCAGGAGGGCGGCGATGCATTGCAACAACAACAGCAACATCTACAACAGCAGCAGCAGCAACAACAACAGCAACACCAACACCAGCAGCTGCAAAAGATCAGTAAGGTGATCAAAATGGCGCAGTTTCCGTTGCTAGTGTCGGACCTCAACCTGCAGCAGCAGACGGGTCAGCAGCAACAGCAGCAGAAGCCCAATTCGGCAGCGGCCATTGCGGCCAATCACAACTACAGTCTGCAGCCGGCGACGGCCATAATCACCTCACAGGCGGGGCCGCAGCAGGCCAACAAGATCTTCCTGACGAGCAACAGCAGCGGCGGCAGCGGAGGCAACTTCACCATTGCCACGGCCAGCGAGCTGCAGGCAGCGGTCGCTGCCAGCAACGCTGGCCAGCAGAAGCTCCACTACAAGGAGCTGCCCAATGCCAATGTCAAGCTGAACTTTGTGAGCAGCGCGACAACAGCGAATGCCGCCGATACGCTGGTCAGCCAAACGTCGCAGCAGCTGGGCTCCACTACGGTCGTGTTGAATAAGACGGGCGCTCCGCTGTCCGCCGGAATCCAACAGCATCAGCAGCAGCACCAGAAACTCAAGACGAGCGGAGGTCAGGTGCAGGTGCCGGTGTCGACGGGCGACAAACGCGTGCTCTACACCAGCCTGTTGAATGTGAAACCTCTGCAGAAGAACAACAGCGGACAAATGCAGATGCAGCTCGGGCCCGCCGGACTGCAGCAGGTGCTGCGCGGCCGTCTCAACAACTCGGCCATCCTGACGCGAACCCTGCCCCTGGGCACTACCGTTAACAGCACTGGCGGCGGCGGAGGAGGCACTCCGACCACGATACGCCAGCTGGTCACCAGCAATGCCAACAATGTGGGCAATGCGGACGGAATTGCCAAGGAGGTGGGCAAGGTGCACGTGACTGTCGAGCAGGTGATTGCCAGTGCCAACAATGGCGGAGTTGTGCTGCCCACCAACACCAATAATAACAACAACAACAACAACAATAACAGCAACAGTAACAATAATAACAACAACAACAGCAGCAGCAGCAACAACAATGCGAATAGCAGCAACAGCAACAACAACAACAACGGCAACGGAAATGGAGGAGGCGGAGTGAATGCAACAACGGGCAACGTGAACGCAACGCCGACGATCAACAGATGAGACGCGGACACCAGCTAACATCCAATGGCAAGTGGAGGTTGTTGCGCCCTAAATCTGCCCAGTGGCACCTCGCTCAGCCTGGCTTCGTCGGGGGCAGCGAGGTCGAGTCCGCTGATGGTGGCCCTCGGCCAGTTGTTGCAGCCGCCGCAGTGCTGCTGTGCGCTCTGCCTGGTCAAGCTGGGCAAACAGGCGTCTGCCTAGTCAGCACGGCACGACGATGAGCACAAGCAACTGCTACTGCTACTGCTACTGCTACTGCTACTGCAGTTATATAAATATATAGATTATATATATAGAATTTCATATGCATATATACAAAACAGAAAAACCTACAAATATTCGGTGTGAATATAAACGTGTGAGACCCTCCCCGTCGAGTTAGCCCCGAAAGGTTTTCCAAATTATTGTAACATACGGCGGCATCGGATGGCAAGGAATGCTGGTGGAGAGGAGCCGCGGCGGGCTGGGCGGTATGATTTAGTAAATCTTATGATTATTATGTAATTTGTAACTCGTTTGCTATAGTTGCGCTTAACTTGCATACATACAAAAAAAAAAAAAAAAAACGAAACGAAACGAAATGCAGAAATAAGGAACACTTGTGTATAAATCTATAATGAGAAGCCACCAATAACAAAACAAAAAAACAAAAAAAAAGTTCGCTTAATTTTAGACATGTGTGTAACGATTCAGGTCTTATTTTCAAGATCGCCTAACCCTAAAGCCTATACATAACTAAATATATATATATACCTGTATGTATATATGTATCTATAATTGTAGCGCTCAGCCCCGCACTGAGCAAATCGAAGCAAACCAACCAACCAACCAGCCAAGCAAACCAACTAAACTAAACTAAACTATAAACTAATAAAAAGAGGAAACTATAAACAACTCATTTGTTAAATAGCAAACTGTAAATATTTGATAATAATTTTGAATGATAATGCTAATAAATATATTTTAAGTGATACAATACAAAATAATGTTAGTTGGCATCTCAACACACACAAACACACACACACGTATATATATATACATATATTTATTGTATATATATATATAAACTTACACACACACACACACACACACATGGACATTTGGCATGTTAGCTTTCAGCTCATGCCGTTTCAGAACCACGCGCTTTAGCAATGCTGCCACGCCCACTCGATTGGCGTTGGCAGCGTGCGTTAACAAAATAACAAGAAGAAGAAGAAGAAGTTAAAAAATATATATAGATATATATATGCATATATATATATTTGAGGATGTAGTTGAAGGAGCAACATTTTTCAATGTACGTAAATTAAATTAACTTATGCTGTAACAAGAATTAAACTACATTTAGTTATTTTAACTATGAAATACGGAAGGAACGATGGAAGGAGAGTGAGAGACAGGAGGGGGAAGTACGAATTCGATAAAGATTAGAGAGAGAGAGAGAGAGAGAGATCGATTGGGCAAGAGTAAAATGTAAACACATACACGTATACACACACACACACACACACACACACACATAGAGAACACTATTAATGTATGCTATAATTAATATTATTATTATTATTTTTATACAAGGTAATACTTTTAATTATATCTGTAATTGTAACTGTAAAACGCAGAAGCAGAATTCAATGCTTGTGCATTCTGAAAACGATCAGTAAATATTTTAAATCCAAAACCACATCCGAAAAATTATAATATAATATAATATAATATAATATAATAAAATACAATTAATATACGTAGTTGTACTTTCTTTAGTGTGTAAACTAGCATTGTAAGAGTAAGCGATAATAAATGGAAACAAAATGCAACTTAAAAACAATTAATAAACAAAGCAAAACAACAACAACAACAACAACAGAAATACATAATTACGGGCGAAACACTTTTGAAATGTTTATTTAATTTTGTTGTTAGCATTATTTGGATTTTCATTTGATGTTTGTTTTCCTTTTTTCTTTATTTTCAATTTCAGTTTTAAAATAAGAATAAACAAAAAGAATGATTAAATACACTCGACATTTGTGAAAAAGCTTTACACACTGAACTCAAGCCCGACTTCCGAAAACTAACGAGTCTTTGTCTAGATACATTGACATAGATACATGCACGCACACACACAAATGCATATGTAGTTAGTGTGTACGGCAATGCATGTTTGTATATTGTACCTTACATAGCTAAGCATAAACAATTATGAACTTAATATGCATAAATATATCGACGAACGTTTTAAGACTTACAATACTCAATACACACACATAATTACACAGGTTCCTTTTATGGATTTTTGCTTAGATTCGAATAGTTTTGTGGGTTCGACTTATTTCTGCTCCATAAATGAAATGTGATGTGTATTTTATGTTTTGAAATTTGCAACTACAATTACGGGTAAAACGCGAAAAAGGAAAACAAAAATTTAATAAAAATTATTAAACAAGCAAAAATATAGGGAAGAAATTTGTATTTGAATATACTTATATATACTCACATACAGACACACATACACACAGACTGTTTAAATTTTGATTGAACACAAATCAAATGAGAAAATAAGATTAATAATAAATACATATATATAAATATATATAAACATTTAGATTTGAACTCTCGTTGTTGCATGGTTTCTTTTTCGATTACTTTCAGCAGCCAACAAATTTGTATAATCGATCAAAATGTAAATCGATCAACAAGAAAATAGCTTTGATCAGACGCTCGTTTGTTAGTCTGGGATCCATTTTTTTCGTTTTGTTTTGTTTTTCCATTTCCATTTCATCTAGTAGCTCACATACTCGTATTTGTAAATATGTAACAGAAAAAAAATATATATATACTATTTTTTATATGTACTTAACCGTTTTTAAACTCTTCTTTTCAACACACTAAGCCAAAGA